CAGCCACCCCTACGCTTGGGTCTCTTGATTCAGCTGATGGTAGAGCTGGACTCCCAGCCTTGGGAATACTGTCAGGGGCGGGAGCACCTATGTGACCCATGGCCTTTGCTCTTACAAATATCGTGGTAGACATCAGTTGTCAGCTGCATGGATAGCAGGGATCTTGCAGGGATCTACGCAGCTGACAACTCTTCTCTTTCTACGGCAATACCATGCTGAAGATTGCTGGATTTGGAAAATGAAACCACAAGATGCCAAGTTACATTTGAATTTCAGAGAAACACCATTTTTAAACATTTATTTTTAATTATAAGGGTGCCCCTATGTAATATTTCTGTTCACTGGAAATCAAAACATAATTAGGTGTGTGTGTTTTACCTGGGAGTCCTAATCATTCTGTTTCCTGTGTGAGGTATTCGAGTCCCTGGTGACTCCCCGTTAATTCTTGCAGTTCATGGCATGCAGCCTGTACCTAATTTTCAGCACGGATATAGATTTTTTTTTGGCCTATTACCATATTCTATTAGTTATTGCCTTTAGGTCCACATAGGGGAAAATAGAGAGTCTGGTGCTCAAATTGCCTTCTTTCCCATATTTAAAAAAAATATATTATTCAAGGGAAAACTGATTCTTTCAAAAGGGTTGAAATTAATATGAAACTTTTCCCAGGCCACTCAGTTGCTTCAAGATGTGAACATGTCACTCTCCCTCAAATAAGTATTACAGCCATGGCACCCAATTAAAAAGTCATTTTTTCCTTAGTGAATTATTAACTGTGGTTTTCTGTGTATAGCCTCTTTGTTATGTAACACTTTGCTAATTTTTATGTTAAAGAAGATCGGAGTCCTTCAGTGATGGTAAGCACTCCTGCAAGGATGGGAGGATAACGAGTGTGACTTGGTTCATTCTGTGCATTGTGGAACATAACTGCCATTATTTTTGTAGTATTATTTAAGAAAAGAAAAGAAGTAACACTAGCTTCAGGTCAAGGTGGAGTAATTTTAATCCATAAGCATTTAGGTCGGATACCAGGCAAAACGACGCATAGACCATTTGTGGAATGAAGCTAAGAAGTTACTTCCCTTCGAGTGCTGTTCACAGTGACCCCGGATTGCCTTATTGCTTTCCTGAATGAAATCAGTGGACCCTGTGTCGTTGCCCTTGGGATGTGTAATTAGTTGCACAATTAAGTTTTGCATCCTTAAGTAGTTGGGGTCAGATGTTCAACAGGGAAGTTCATGGAGCCTTGGTGTCTGGCATTAACGCGTAACCATCTGTGATTTGGTTGTCTGGTTTTGGCTGTTTCTAGCATGAATGACAAGAGAGAGCTGAGGCCGCTCAAGGCACTAGTTCTGAGTGGTGCCAAGATGTGTTTTCAACAATAGTGGACGCTGTGTCATCGATGTGGTTCTTATAGGAGTCTCGTTGCACAGAGAGGCCCATCTTCTTTAGTCCCATATCACCAGGATTATATGGAGCTCTTCATGGGATAAGGGGACCCAAGATTCTGGCCGGGCACTGTGACTCACGCCTGTAATCCCAGCACTTTGGGAGGCCGAGGCAGGTGGATCACTTGATGTCAGGAGTTCAAGACCAGCCTGGCCAACATGGCAAAGCCCTGTCTCTACTAAAAATATAAAAATCAGCCGCGCATGGTGGTAGGCGCCTGTAGTCTCAGCTACATGAAAAGCTGAGGCAGGAGAATCGCTTGAACCCGGGAGGCGGAGGTTGCAGTGAGCCGAGATGCACTCCAGCCTGGGTGACAGAGCAAGACTCTGGCTCAAAAAAAAAAAAAAGTAATCCAGAATTCTGCTTACAGTGATGGAGGTGAAAAGGATAGTGAATAACATCCTAATGTAAAAGCAGAATCTGCTCTTTGTAATGTAAAAAGCATAATCCACTTGTTGAGTCATTCATTCATGTGTTTATCGAATATTTATTGAGTACCTGGTGTTTACCAGGCACTCTGTTGAAGACTATGAATACGGTGGAGAAAAAGCCCTGCGTGTCATTTCTGCCCCCTGGCATATCACACCCTGGAGTGCATAGAGAACTACAGCAAAGCATAATGTTTTTCGATAAAGGAAGTTGGGGGTGCTACTGAAAAAACAGCTGGAGAACATAACCCAGAATCGTACAGTCAAGGAAAGGATCCCAGAAAAATGACTTTTAGAATGCAGCCAGAGAGGTCACAGAAATGTGGCTGGGCCACTGGGGAGGGGTACCCGGAGAGGGGATTAAAATTCTCTCCCACTTCTTTGTTTTACTGTAACTCACATGTGAAAATACAAGTTTAGAGAAAATATAAATTAGGAATGATTTCCATAAAGTTGAAACATGTAATCTTTTTAAGGCATGGAGTCCCTTTTTATATCTATGATATTTTGATTTTTGAAAACAAAAATCCCTATTTATGACATTGAACCCTAGGAAATTGTCATTTGGGTGGGTGCAGACTGTTCCCGCTTATAAGCAGTCTCAAATGGTTCCATCCAAGACAAGCTGTGATTGTTTAAATTGAAGCTCAGACTACTCTGAGTTTGGTAATGCCACTGAATGGGGAGATTTTTTTCATCCAGAGCTTTCTGTAAACTCAAATGGAATGCACGCATTGAACTTCTTGTCTAAAAGTTAAATTGGATGCAGCTTGACACCCTGCGGTGTCACAGCTGGGCTGAGGCTACAGTGCTCCAATCAGCTCCCTCTGATGGCTCCATGAGAAGCAATGAGGGTCAGGGACCCGCTTATGGTCTCACAAGGCCAGGAGCAGGACCCCTGCCTCTGAGCTCTGTGCTCTCTCAGCTGCTGCAGACAACTCCCAAGAGGGGTCCTGATTTGGGTGGGCATCATGCTTCGGATTGTGTGTTCCCGTGGGCCTCTGAGAAAGATGACACAATGAGTGTCCGAGTAATCAAAGATAATTACACGGTGACCGAAGAGAAGGGCTGCAGCCTAACTGTGGAGCTTTGCCTAGAAAGTCAGTGTTCTCGGAGCCAAGAGTTTCCATGTCGAAAACTCCTTAAATTGGTTCTTTGGATTATGAATTCTTCTGCCTGCATTTTTCTTACAGAATGTAAGGCCACCTGTAAAATCACATTTTGGATTTTCCTCCCCCTGAGGGAGAGATGAGTTCAGTGCGGGAAAATGAGCAGTGATTTTCATTCCTTGGTGACAGCGTCGTGTCCGCAGGATGTGGCTGGGGTGGAAGTGAGGGGGCCACGCCTGCTTCCTAAGTTTTAGGGTCCAGTGTTGCACAGATGACTGGGAGTATGTGCTTTATATGCTTGGCCCTGACACGCTGGTGCTGTGGTCACACCATCTCATCTGTTTCTGGAGGGCCCCTCCCAATATATCCTTCCAAGGTCTTTTCTTGGCATCTCTCAGCTTAACTCCAAGGGAGGGATGTACACTGTCCGTGTGATTTATGATTGCTTGTCTGAATTTATTTTTGCCCCAAGTCTGTGACCATTTCCCATTGGACATGTCCTTAAATGCAACATGTGTATATGAAAACGTGAAAGAACATCAGGTGGGATGTGGACGTGCATCGGTCCACGTGTTGAGAAAGTTATTCTTGTTTCCAGTCTCAGCCTGTGTTGTCACTGGGAAGGTGCGTCTCCGTGGGTGCTGGTGTGTTTGTGGCAGCTTTCGTGGGTGCTGGCGTGTTTTTGGCAGCTTTTGTGGGTGCTGGTGTGTTTATGGCAGCTTTCATGGGTGCTGGTGTGTTTGTGACAACTTTCGTAGGTGCTGGTGTTTGTGGCAGCTTTCGTGGGTGCTTGTGTGTTTGTGGCAGTGGGTGCTGGTGTGCTTGTGGCAGCTTTCATGGGTGCTGGTGTGTTTGTGGCAGCTTTCGTGGGTGCTGGTATGCTTGCTTTTTTGGGTTCTGGTGTGCTTGTGGCAGCTTTTGTGGGTGCTGGTGTGTTTGTGGCAGTTTTTGCGTGTGCTGGTGTGTGTGGCAGTGGGTGCTGGTGTGCTTGTGGCAGCTTTTGTGGGTGCTGGTGTGTTTGTGGCAGCTTTTGTGGGTGCTGCTGTGCTTGTGGCAGCTTTCATGGGTGCTGGTGTGCTTGTGGCAGCTTTCGTGGGTGCTGGTATGCTTGCTTTTTTGGGTTCTGGTGTGCTTGCAGCAGCTTTTGTGGGTGCTGGTGTTTGTGGCCACTTTCGTGGGTGCTGATGTGTTTGTGGCAGCTTTTGTGGGTGCTGGTGTGTTTGTGGCAGCTTTCGTGGGTGCTGCTGTGCTTGTGGCAGCTTTTGTGGGGGCAGGGGTGCTTGTGGCAGCTTTTGTGGGTGCAGGTGTGCTTGTGGCAGCTTTCGTGGGTGCTGCTGTGCTTGTGGCCACTTTTGTGGGGGCAGGTGTGCTTGTGGCAGCTTTCGTGGGTGCAGGTGTGCTTGTGGCAGCTTTTGTGGGTGCTGGTGTGTTTGTGGCAGCTTTTGTGGGTGCAGGTGTGCTTGTGGCAGCTTTTGTGGGTGCAGGTGTGCTTGTGGCAGCTTTCGTGGGTGCAGGTGTACTTGTGGCAGCTTTTGTGGGTGCAGGTGTGTTTGTGGCAGCTTTTGTGGGTGCTGGTGTGTTTGTGGCAGCTTTCGTGGGTGCAGGTGTGCTTGTGGCAGCTGATGTGGGTGCTGGTGTGTTTGTGGCAGCTTTCTAATACTTGCTCATCTCTCCTTTTATGAAAAAAGAGCAAGTCTTTACAATAATCCCATAAAAGCACCATGACCACCAGTTGAAATTTTAAAATTGTATTTGAATCGTATTTATTTGCATGTTCAACTTCTTTGTGGGTTAAATGATACTGGTTTTCTACCTACGTCGGTGGCGTTTATTTCTTTTAAAAACAAACATATTACTATGAAACAAGTTGATCCGAGGAGGGGTTTTGGGTAAGGAATTGCATGATTGGCATGAAGGCAGGGTCACCTGTTTTGAAGGGGCACGCAGATGTCTGAAATACTGGTAACAGGACCTCAGCATCACTAACAGCTGCGCTCCACTTCCCTCCTGACAGTGACGGAAGGTCGAGGGATCCTTGAGAGCATCCAGAGGTTTTCCTTGCTGCCCACCTACCTCCCCGTGACCTACCACATCAACAACGCCGACGTCTCCTTCTTCCTGAAGGAGGCCAACCAGGATATCATGAGGAACTCCAGCCTGCAGTCCCGGGTGGAGTCATTTCTGATTTACAAATCCAAGAGGCTGCCTGTTCTAAATGCCAGCTACGGGCCTTTCTCCATCGAGCAGGTGGTACCCCAGGATTTAATGCTACCTTCCAACCCATTTGGATTCACCAACAAATTTTCTCTTAACTGGAAACTGAAAGCCCACATCCTGCGGGATCAAGTGTACCTGAGCCGCCCCAAAGTGCAGGTTCTGTTCCACGTGGTGGGCAGGGACTGGGACGACCGCAGCGCCGGGGACAAGCTGCCGTGCCTGAGGGTCTTTGCCTTCCGAGAGACCAGAGAGGTGCGGGGCAGCTGCCGGCTGCAGGGGGACCTGGGGCTGTGTGTGGCCGAGCTGGAGCTCCTGTCCAGCTGGTTCAGCGCCCCGACGGCGGTGGCCGGGAGGAGGAGGCCCGTGGACCAGCCGGAGGGGACCCCTGTGGAGCTCTACTACACCGTGCACCCAGGGGGTGAGAGAGGGGACTGTGTCAGGGAAGAGGCGAGGAAAAGCAACGGGATTCGGACAGGCCACAGTGACCTCGACGACGCCGGCCCCCCCTTGCAGAGGATTGGGAGCATCTTCCTGTACCAGACGCACAGGAAACCTTCCCTGAGAGAGCTGCGCCTGGACAGCAGCGTGGCCGTCCACTACACACCAAAGACGGTCAGGCAGGGAGATGTGCTGACGTTCCCCGTTTCCATCTCCAGAAATGCCACTGAAGATCGCTTCACCTTGAGGTAAGTGCTTTCCCAGTGTCTGTCTGTACCCGCTTGCCCATCAGCTGGTGTTTTCGAGAAACTATTTGACCAGAAGAGCTGTGTTATCGCTCACCAGAGGAGAGCCAGCCTTACCGTCTTTACAAACCCCACCTGCAATGGGAAATCCAGAGACCTGTCTGATCTTTCCGGGCTGGCAATTCCGTTGTGAGAATATTTGTATTAACAGATTTTCCAGGCCATCGACGGGGCAGCCGCGGGGCTGCTGATGTTATGCCTTTTGCCTTAGTTTGGGGTATTCTCAGCAAGTTTTCGCAATGCTAATGCTATCCGAGAAGCCATTTCAGAATTGGAGAGTTAGATGCCTCACAGCTGAAATGAGACGGCAAATGAAATTGCAACAGTTGTCAGAAAGGATAGGGAACGCGGTTTTGCCAACTGAAATCTATTCCAGAGATCTAAGTTCTAAGTATAATATGGTACCAACCTCAAAGTTATCATTTTGTTTCTCCCTGGAAATAGAACTTAGTGTTCAAAAAAATAAATGAGCACAATGTGTGAAGAATATACAGTAGAATTTGTTGAGTTTCTTATATAAGAATATACCAAAGACAAGACATTTAAAATAAGCTCTGTGTACTTTAGAATAAACATGGGCTGGTTTTCACTTTGGAATAGAATGCATGAGAGAAGCTACTTGCCTTGGCTTGATTGTATTTTCATGATATAGTTTTAGTTTTATTTTCAACCCAGGCAAGTTTGATTATAACAGCTGTTTAGTATAAGTGTGATTGATTATGAGAAATGTCCTAACACTGCGACGTAATTCAACAATTAGACCTGATGCGCAGTGTAATAAAACGTGTGCTGTGACTCCTGAAATTAGGAGTGCAGCTAGAAGTAAGACATATTTCACATCTGGGTTTATAAAGTTCATCCAGTAATGACCAGTTCTCTATCCCCCTTCATATGGAATTGCTCTCTCTATCTTTTCCTTTGTCTTTCTCTCTTTCTTCCTTTCCTTCATTCTTTCCTTCTTTAGGTTTAAAGGGTAGATGAGTTCAAGAAAATAAATCATTGTTTCGATTCTACCTTGCACATTTAAGTTTATTTGATTGTGATCTAGTATTAGAAATGCCTTTTTGATTTTTAATGAAAGAAACAGAACCTAATGGCCATGCACCTAAGGACTGAACTTGGCTAAGTCCTGGAAGGTAAAAGCCTTTGGCTGGGTTGGATGTGCCATTCAGGGGTTAGCCGCAGGGATTTAGGGCACAGAAGCACATCTGTGGGGCCGAGCCTTCATTAGCTTTCGCTTCTGTCCCTCTGGAAATCATATCTAGATCCAGCTGGCCTCAGGTCCTCAGTGGGGTCTGCTAGTTTTATGTTTTACTTTTCTGGGTTCAACAGTCTTACCTAGTATTTTTTGTGAGAATGGCTACCTATATGGAGAAATATTTTGGTGGTCGAAACGAAAGGTTTGAATAGGGGGGCTTTGTTCTTACACGGTTTCAAACTGCCTGCCATCTTTTAGGTTTGCCAATGACTGACTGTTAATTTTCTGAACCCAGGATTAAAAACTGCAATCCCCTGAAGCTTTGATTCTCAGGAGATGAGATCCACATGCAGCTTGTGTGTGTGGGTGGGTGTGTGCGCGCGTGTGTGTGGAAGCAGTGGTGTGGGTAGTATTGAATTTCACAAAAAGCTTTGTGTCTCATGACTTTATTACACACTAAACATATCCATTAGGGTCCAAGGGTGACTTTTATCTTTGGCAATTTGTAGCAAAATCAAGAGAAATTCGCTTTGCTGGGCTGTACAATACGAAGTTCCAAGTCGTGGTGAATTCAGAAGCAAATGTATTTGAAGCTTCTAAATTTGGTGGCTCTGCTCACAAGTCAAACTTTGGAAAAGTTGGGAAGTACAGCAAAAGAATATATGTTCAGAACCCATCATTTAGACATGTCAATTCGATTTAAAAAATCAGTTTACAGATTAGACAACAAGGAAGGAAATGTTTCATGAATGTGTGTTTACATCGGTAAGAGGCTACACTGTTTCTTCAAGAGGCTTCATTAATAATGTGCTTGCTGCGTATTTAAAATGCTCTGATTATGGATGAAACTCATGCATTTATGTAAACAGCTTGAGGTAAACTTGGACCTGGCAAGATTATTATCCTTTAGCTTGAATTCCTATAATTAGAAGATAATAATACTATATATCTTCTTAAATGAAGTCAATTTGACACTAATCCAGCATAGCTCCCAAATATTTGGAATTGGTGTGCGTCTGTTCTATCTGACCGTCAGCTATAAATAACCCTGAAGGATCCAGCCAAATATCCTTGGGAGCTTTTCTCCCAATTGTGACTGTCTTTCCAGACACTCTGTGTCGAAAGCGCTAGCAAGGCCCAGTGTTGGGCTCCTGTTCTATAGGTCAGGTGCCCGTGGGACATCCACGGCCACCCAAGGATGACTACAGTGAGAGGGGGCCAGACTAACTGCCATCAACGGGAGGGACATTTGCAAATATGCATCATGTACGTTTGCAAATCAGGGCCGATGTGACAGCTGTGGTTTGAGCTCTTTATTGATGGCGACTGACCGCCCACTGTACACCTCCCCGGTGTGCGCCTGTGAACACAGGCGTGCGGGGGCTGGAGCACAGGAGTCACTGAAGCACAGGAGTCAGTGTCTTTCTGCGTGTGTATTTGTACGCGTGTATATCTGTGTGTGCGTTTCACTCTTTAAGAACAAGGCAGCCCAGGTAGGGCCGTGTGTCATCTTACAAGCTCTGTTCTATCCTGCGGCTTCCATCTTCCAAAGGGACCTCTGCAGGGAAAGAAAAGCCACACGCTTTCTTTCATTCCTGAGACATCTAACCATCCCGTTTAATCCCAGAGAATGTTTCCCTTCAAATGAAAACGGAAGCACCCCACGGCACTGGGACTCTTTCTTCCACGTTCTTCTCACCACACATTCCCCTATGTCCCTCCCCAGTGGAGAGGGAGGCTCAGGTGCATCCCAGTCTCTGCTCACCCGTCACGGGCCTGGAGGAAGATAAGAACCAGGGCTGCTGCTTCCACCTCCTCCCTGGTTATTCTTCCATTCCTTTCTGCCGCAGGAGTCTGTTTCAAAAGAGCTCTGGTCCTCAGATCTGAATGGAAGGCTGGAACTGAGCATACATGTAGCAATCCCTGGCTTACCTAACAGCCCAGAACTGTCAGCCCGGGGGGCCTAGAGCAGCGGAACAGGCTCAGAGTAGGGGCTGTTCTTAAAGGCATGGACAGCCTTAAATTTCTTGAATGAATTAATGAATCACTGATTATTAACAAATATGTGCACTTTACCGAGGTCTCTGTAGTTTTAAGTGCTCAAGAATTTGTTCAGCGCTGTATGCCTAGCACTGGGATTGGATTTAAGACAAGGTCGGAATAAGACATTATTGAGGAGATTTTCTTGCAAGGTGACACTGAGAAAGGAGACAGCAGGAGAATAAAATACAAGTGTTTGACCATAGGCAGAGTGAGCCTGGAATTGATGAGGCTCAGAGGATATTCTTCGGTGGTTTGGGTAGCCAGATATGCAGAAGATTTAACGCTTGTTAGGAAATAATACGGTGGTTTGAGATTGACCCTGTGAGCTTCATCCACGTGAATGATGTAACCTCTGAACCTGTGTTGGCCCAGAATAGGATTTCTTCTTCTTCTGTTTCAGGTAAAATATGCCCTGGAGTATCCAATGATATTCTAAGTTGCAGGCCATAAATCACACTCCAGCTAATTTAAGAAAAATAATAAATAGAAGGATTTACTGGACGGATACCATGGGACCCAGCTTGGCCACGCAGAGTCTGATGGAGGTTGGAGGCTGAGCGTGGACACAGCAGCCTCTCGGCAACTCTCTCCCGCTCTCCCAGTGGATTCCTCCAATAGTTCTCCTGGTTACATGCACATAAGCTGCAGGGACCTCCATGCAGCCCCTGCTGGGTCACCTCTCTATTAGCTGGCTGTGCCAGGGGTGGGAGAGGGACCAGATGTGGCTTCCATGAAACAAAATGGTTCTTCAAATTACCTTTCACTAAGAGCACATCCCATGAGATGAAGAACTGTTGTCTTGTGAAGACTGGGGCACTGTTACAAAGAGGACAGATGTTGGACAGATGTTGGCGTCTTCAAATTATAGCAACGTCCAGTGACATCTGGTCTGTGCCTGGGATTGTACCACCCCTTGTCACCTCGTGGGCATTAATAGAGCTGCTTGATGTAGAAGAGTGAGAAGCAGACAGGCTTTTTTAAAAAATGATACTTTAAGTTCTGGGGTACACGTGCAGAATGTGCAGGTTTGTTGCATAGGCATACACGTGCTATGGTGGTTTGCTGCATTCATCATCCTGTCATCTGCATTAGGTATTTCTCCTAATGCAGACTCTTAATTTCAGAAGTTATTTACCTTTACAAAAATCTTGTGAATGTATTGCGGTGTTCCCATATGTCCCTCTTTTATTAATACCTTATGTTTGTGGGCTACATTTATCCCAATTAATGCACCCATATTGACACATCATTATTAGCTGAGATCCATACTGTATTCAGATTTCCTTAGTTATTATCCACCTCCCCGTCGCTGTTCCAGGACCCCACCCAGGAGACTGCATTACATGTAGCGGTCATGTCTCCTGGAGCTCCTGTTCAAAGAAAAACTTCAGCAGAATTAAATTTGAAGGAGTTTAACTCAGGAATAAATGATTCATCAACCAGGCAGCCCCCAGAATCACAGCAGATTCAGAGAGACCCCAGGGGTGCCTCGTGGTCACAAAGCATTTATGTAAAATGATGTACAGAAATCGGAGGTGAGGTACCAAAACAGCTGGATTGCCCACAGCGTGGCGTTTGCCTTGTTTGAACACAGTGTGAATCCTCAGTGTGCATGGGTGGTTGAGGTATGGCGGCTGGGACTGGCCAAGGCTCAGTGACTGTTGCAGGTGCAGACGACTCAGTTAGGTTTCAGTCTCGTCTA